GTGAAATGTCGGCTACATGAGCGGAGGGCAAAATGAATTGTGGCAACATCATCGGAAGGCAAAATGAAATGTTGGCAAAATGAGCGGATGACAAGTGAAATGTATGCAACATGAGCGGAAGGAAAAGTGAAATGCAGGCAACATCATCGGAAGGCAAAATGAAATGTTGGCAAAATGAGAGGATGACAAAGTGAAATATAGGCTACGTGAGCGGAAGGCAAAGTGAAATGTGGCAACATCATCGGAAGGCAAAATGAAATGTTGGCAAAATGAGGGGATGACAAAGTGAAATGTAGGCAACGTGAGCGGAAGGCAAAGTGAAATGTGGCAACATCATCAGAAGGCAAAATGAAATGTAGGCAAAATGACTGGACGGCAAAGTGAAATGCAGGCAAAATGAGTGGATAGCAAAGTGAAATATTGTCAAAATGAGGGGATGACAAAGTGAAATGTAGGCAACATGAGTGGAAGGCTAAGTGAAATGTGGCAACATCATCGGAAGGCAAAGTGAAATGTTGGCAAAATGAGCGGAAGGCAAAGTGAAATGTAGGCAAAATGAGTGGAAGGCAAACTAAAATGTTGGCAAAATGAGCAGAAGGCATACTGAAATGTGGCAACATCATCGGAAGGCAAAAGGAAATGTTGGCAAAATGATTGGAAGGCAAAGTGAAATGTTAGCAAAAATGCGATTTATACAAAGCGAGATATAGGGAATATGAGCTGCAGACAATGTTGCACTGCTCATGTTTTTCTACCAAATCTATCATTTTATATCACAAATTAGGTTTTATTTCAGCCTTCGTGGGGGCAGGTACGTGTCTGATCGGGACTGGGTTTGTGAACGTGGAGAACCGCTACGTCGCTGTAGTTTTGTTGACGATAGCCATGTGGTTTGTTGGGATGGCATCTGCTGGCTACATTGTCAACACTGTCGACTTCGCTCCAAGGTAGGGTTTCTTTATCTTGTTAATTCATGATGGGGAAATTAAGTTTTTGATGTGTTTCATCTTGTTTTAAAAAATGTGTCGGATGGTTATACAAAAGATGTTATCATCGTTAAGACTATAGATCATGAGATGTCAATTTTTCAACTCTTTGGTTGGCCTTGTTTATCTGCTGTGGTGTCACTGAATACTGATGTAGATATGTCACTGATATGAGATCATACAGTGTACTGATATACAGAGTGCAGATATAAGTATATTGATATACAGTTTGCGGTTATACAGTGTACTGGTATACAGTGTGCGGATATAAGTATATTGATATACAGTTTGCGGTTGTACAGTGTACTGATATACAGTGTGCGGATATAAGTATATTGATATACAGTTTGCGGTTGTACAGTGTACTGATATACAGTGTGCGGATATAAGTATATTGATATACAGTTTGCGGTTGTACAGTGTACTGATATACAGTAGATTTTCAGTAGTTAAATTACCAACAAAGACACAGTGTTTCAACCATATTGTTGGTGTACCCTGTCGGCGTAGTAACGGAATATGGTTCAAATAGGCGTAACCATGGTTACTCATTCCTCCATGGACAGCTGTGAAATTCCGTGATATATTCATACATATTTTTTTTTTTGACTGAGTGAAATGATGTCGTTTTATCACATTTTGGGTATGTTTGTTATTTAACACCTCTCTGAGCAATATTTCACGTACATCAGAGCGTCATTCCTTACATAGTTCATGTTTGTGTATATGGGTATCTGTGTCTCAATGTCGACATTCATGTTGCAGATACGCTGGCATACTGTTCGGTATTTGTAACGCTGCTGGGACGGTCCCGGGGATGGTGGCGCCTCTCCTAGCCGGTGTCCTCACCCCAAACGTAAGTAGAAGAGTTGTCATCAGTCTAGGTTTGGTATATTATGTTTAACGTGGCACTCGGCCTTTATAGCTATACGACGGCGGTCTGTAACCAAGGCAACGAACCTTACCACCCGATCCATTAAGTCGCCTCCTACGACATAGGACCAATTCTAACGGGGAATTCCCACGGCGAGGTCATCATTTCATATACGGGATTGTTTCTTATGATGTAATGTCACTTGTAACGAAAGGTGGTGACTCAATGAATTTGCTTGTAGCCGGTTCCCGCATTCATACTTATTTGGATTTTCTTCAGCTGTTTAAGCCCACACTCAAGCTACTTATGGCCACACTCGAATGATCTACCCACGTCTACTGTTTGTGGCTTACCTTTTACATTAAGATGACATTCCTCAATATGACTGAATACTGTTATACGGCGTTAACCCAACTCTTTTGAGTGGACGCAGGAATCGGTGCCCACACTATCGATCACTGTTTTGTCTGTTCCTGACTAAATGTTGCCAACCTTTAATAATAATAATAATAATAATAATAATAGTGGCCATTTGATATTCTGGGAGGGGTGTTTATCTGGGATTTTCTTTCAGCTACAGCCCACCACCACCGCTACCAAATGGTCGGCATCCTACTATTAACTCAGTTAGCTGTCTGACTGGTGTAGCCTAGGTGGTAAAACGTTCACCCGAAGACCCGAGTTCGATTCCCCATACAATGTCAAAAGCCAATTTTCTTGTTCCGTACACTGTTGAAATATTGCTTACCGCGGCGTTACACTATTTTCACTCACACACACTCTGCCTCTCCCCACAGAAAACCCAGGAAGAATGGCGGAACGTGTTCTACGTGTGTGCGGGATTCTGTGCCCTGGGTAGTTTGGTGTTCGGCACCCAGGCCCGGGGGGAGCTGCAGCCCTGGGCCGTGGACCAGGTGGAGGTAGACGTGGGGGAAGGGCAGGAGGTCCCCGACGTGGCAGACAGAGCTCTGGATACCAAGGACACTTTTGACAAGAAGGCAACTACAGATACGTCAACTCATCTGTAACAGTTTTCAGCCTAACAGTATACCACAAACATCGGATACAGTGAACCTCCATTAGCCGTATCATTGATACAGAACATATGTTAACCAGACAATTTTACAGGGAATAAATTCCAAAAAACGTTCTGTGCAAGTGGACCCTGGAATTGAAACCACCACATAAAACACCATGACCTTCATTGATAGGTGTTATATTGTTAAGCAGGAAAGTATATCTAATGAACATGTAGAGTTAACATGTTGAAAATATTGGGCCCACATAGGAAGAACGTGAATCCAAATGAAAATGATATCTTTCTATGTACCAAGGCACGACTTGGAGATTAATAAACACGAAGTTTTATCTTCACAAAAAACATTTTTTTTCACATTTCTTACACAATTCTTTTCTTATGCATAGACAAACGCCCCCACATCGACCTCCAGACGTAGATAACTTTACGGCAGCTAAAGAATACCAATTATGATCAGACATATGTTGATGTAACAGTACATGGATGAACAGAGTGATTGGACACATAATATTATATTAGTAAATGGACGAACAGAGTATTATTTGACACATAATACTATATTAGTACATGGACGAACAGAGTGATTAGACACATAATATTATATTAGTACATGGACAAACAGAGTGATTAGACACATACTATTATAATAGTACTTGGACGAACAGAGTGATTAGACACATAATATTATATTAGTACATGGACAAACAGAGTGATTAGACACATAATATTATATTAGTACATGGACAAACAGAGTGATTAGACACATAATATTATAATAGTACATGGACGAACAGAGTGATATTTGACACATAATACTATATTAGTACATGGGTGAACAGAGTGATTAGACACATATTATTATATTAGTACATGGACGAACAGAGTGATTAGACACATACTATTATATTAGTACATGGACGAACAGAGTGATTTGACGCATTATACTATATTAGTACATGGGGGAACAGTGATTAGACACATAGTACTATATTAGTACATGGACGGACAGAGTGATTAGACACATAATACTATATTTGTACATGGGTATACAGTATGATAAGACATATATTTATGTATTTTAGATGTAGGTACAGTGTGATCAGACATATATTTGGCTTTGCTGGGATGTTAGTGAAAAACAAATTGCCCCAGATAATTCTTGATAAAAGCAATTATGCAGATTGTTGAAAAAACGTTTGTCTGCCCGAACTCTACATTGTTGCAATCATTAACATTTTGTGTCTGCAAAAATCTGCAATGTGCAGACTGAGACACATTGAACATACTGGCTACCTCTTTCAATAGCCTCTGCAAACAGCCCTTAGACGTTCATCACATTGTTGACGACACATGCCCCATCTTATCACAAATACTGCATTACAGCAAGAGTGGAGAGTTCACATGTTACTGTGGATAAAACATGACGCCCAAACCCACATGGTATTTCATGTTCCATGTGCAATGTTTCGGGGGTGTTGGAGCGTTAGGTCTTGGTTCTGAAACCCTTCCATCTTTGGCAGTCATATTTCAAAGCTGAACTTTGTTCTGGCGACTGATCATTATCATATATATTTCAAAGACCCTCATCTTGTTTTGGAGAGTATCATTATGTTGCCAACATTATTTATCCGGGAAGGGGCATTTCTGGATAAGTGGGGTCCGGATTAACAAATTGCACTTAATGCAGGAAGTGTTAAGCTCTGTTGGCAACAAGTCACACCATGTCATTGATTCCAGAATTACTCGATTAACGATAAATTAAACTGCCGGGCAAAAGAAAGCATTCACTTGAAAATTGGATTTTCACATTTTAGCCACCATCAAACATGGGTGTATACTTTCTTTTGCGGTCTGTGTTTACTTGTTTATCAGATGCAAAGGATAAATAATAAAAATATTGAGTTACTGGAATATCGTCTTCATTATTTTATATGGGCCGCCTTACTCTGAAAATGTCCACAGGCTAATCGTGTATCTGCTTCAGTGTATGATCGCCAACACCATTCATTTTTTTGTATCTAGAGATGGTGAGATGCAGGCGGACTTTGTCTGTTCTCAGCACGGGGACTCGCAGTGACCAGGCCAATATTGGCCACATGCATGTACATGATATGTGAATATATACAACATGTCGAGTTCGGAGAAGCCAGCATCGAGAGATGAGAAATCCCCTGTAGCATTCTCATGTAGGTATAACATGCTCATTGTTATGACAAACGTAATGCTTTCGTCTTGTTTTCAGATGAAATGTTTAATAATGTATGTTCAAGATTATTGCACTTATAGAGGTGTGTGTGTGTGCGTGCGTGCGTGCGTGCGTGCGTGCGTGCGTATGGTTGTATGCACCAGTAATAAATTGTAAACGACCACCATAACTCCCATACAGGCGTCGGGGCGGTCGGGTTGGCTCATGGTTAAAGCGTTCGATCGTCACGGCGAAGACCCGGCTTCGAATCCCGACATGGGTACAATGTGTAAACCCCATTTCTGGTGTCAACCGCCGTGATATTGCGGGAATATTGCTAAAAGCGGCGTAAAACCATACTCATTCACTCACCCATAATGGCGTCTGATCGTGTAGTTACAATGTGATTATAATTATGATTATTGGTATAAGCGTTCGTCTCAAGTAATGAAGAACGCATTATGCTATTGCTATAACTCAACAGTAAGTGTAATTACTCTTCTGGTGAACAATATCCATGCACTAGGGTGATAAAAGCGACAAACCACTTTCCCAAACATTAAAATCCCGACTACGTCATAAGCATATGTTTACTAATCAATATCAAATAGCGATCATTCCAGGTGTTCGCGAAAAGGTGAGCGTATCCTGCCCCACTGGAAGGCACTCGTCACAAATACATGCAAAGGCAACACAGATGTTAACCTGAAAAAGCATGTTACATATGGTGCAAGTCAAAATAGGGAATTGCATCGGATATAACTTTGTTACTTATGCGTCAAATTGGAAAGTGTTCTCATGTCTACCATAACAACCTTTTACTAAGACATTGAATGCTGCATCCCTAATCCAACAGGAGCAAGAGTCGTGCAATCCCCATGCAACCAATGATTGTTGTTTTCGCCACAGTCAGCAATATCAATTAGTTAGTGACAGTAGGTGACAGTTAGTGACATAAAACAAATTTATCATTAATATTTTATACCCGCATCCAGACAGGTGCGCACCCTCCCCATTTTGAAGCACTCAAATCATGTTGACATATGCAAAACATTAAGGTCGGTGGGGTAGCCTCGTGGTTCAAGCGTTCTCTCGTCTCGCCTAAGGAACGGGCTCGATTAACCACATATGTAAAACCCAGCCGTGATGTTACTGGAGTATTGCTAAATGCTTCTTCACAAAACATAACACTGAATCCTTTGGTGACATTAAATATTATTAACAATATATTGGCTAACAAACTCAAATGGTTTCCCGAATTTAGTGCAAGAATATTTATATTATAATGCACGCCACACCCCTTTTAAAGAAAGTGTTCACCCTCTTTCCTTCCAAAAATTGAATACGCGTTTGTATTCCTTTGTAGTATCTTGCTTGTGTTCACAACGATGGTTGCTGGCCTACGTTGGCTGGTTCGGATGTATCATGCTGTACGCCGCCCGTGCCAACCTCAGCGTCGCCATCGTGTGCATGGTCAACGACACCGACATCAATTCCACGTCGTCGATATCAGAGGTACAGTTTCCAACCACCTCATTATCATCGCAATGTTACGTATCGTGGTCAAACGTGGCTGATCTTGTATCTCTTCCTATCCTGCTAAGACGTGGCTACGCGTTCATAGTATCAGTCTCCGGTTTCATTTCTCTGGATTGGCATGCTTTGAGAAACTTTGAAATCGCTTTGTCGTGATATATTTCTGGTATGCCCAAAAGGACGCATCACTGCACGGCGAATTGCAGCTCTCTTGACGAATCGGCCATCCGTGTCCCCGGTTGCCTACAATCTAGCTCTCATTGAGTAAGAAACAGAAGTTATCGTTCTTGAAGTGTAAAAATCCTTCAATCAATCTAATTACGCTCTTAATCTAAGCCTGTCTTAAAAAGTTATCACGGGAAACTGTGTATTCAGTAAAGGTACACATTGAGCACCCATTCCAATAATTAAATCACGTGTTACTTCATGTCTTCCAGCCTTGCTTATCGCACGATGGCTTCCTTTAAGTGTCCTACCTCGTCTTAGTATCGCTTCAATTTTATATAATTGAATCACAAATGTTAACATGCCACTATTTATTCAAATACTTGCACGTTATATTTCCAGCATGCCGAGTTCTACTGGTCCAAGGGAGAGCAATCTGGAATCCTCAGCTCGTATTTCTACGGCTACATACTGACACAGATTCCCGCGGGAATACTGGCGACTAGATATGGCGGGAAGCACGTCATGTTTATCGGGATGCTGATTGGCTCGATCGTTTCACTGCTTCTACCAATCGGCGCCCGGACTTCCATCTACCTGGTGTATGTGCTGCGCGTGATTCTTGGAGTGTGCCAGGTAGAGATGATTGTCAAACTGAAAATTTACATGCCATATATTTTGTAATTTGCATGTTAGTTTTCCATTATCGCAATTATTGCCGAGAATGACAAATTCACTGATGGAATGGTGCAGAGCGATATCCAAAACAATTATTTCAGTTATAATGAGGCTAGAACAACAAACCAGTCGCACAATTCCATCAGTGTTACTCTTTACCAGCGCTGAAGCACATGACAAGATGCTTGTCCAATGAAAGATCGTCGTTTGATGACCTTCGATGTATTTCTCTTCAGAACGCGACACTGGATGTCATGTCATCCACAAGATGACATCACTTTATCATCACATATATCACTTTTGTTGACATAACGTTTACTGTACTCTCCCCAGGGAGTCTTGTTTCCATCTCTACAATCCCTTTGGGGACGATGGGCGCCGCCATTAGAGAGGACAAAACTCACTGCTGTCTGTTATTCAGGTAAATCAGTTTATATTTCTGATGAAATCTTTTTCACAGATTTTATGCGCATATCTATGGAACCATTATAGAAAGGACATTGCCGTGTTGTCGCCTGTGCAAACCCAAGCCCAAACAAAAGAGCAACATCGTTCATCTGACCCGTGTTCGAGGTTTACAAATAAAAACTTCAATAATGGGTCAAATCAGTGGCAGCGGGAACGAGTAACAGGTGCACGGCGGACAACTGCGGCTTGGTATCTCAGTGGGTGAGATCTCGTAACTTCCTGTGAGATCCCGTCAAGATGACGGTTCATCCGGACACATGACCGGACGTGCCGCCATCTTGCCGTGGTGGCACTTCCGGTTCAGGTGTATCCCAGCTTGAACCAGGACTGGAAATGCCGCCATCTTGGAAAAAGACCCCATACTGACCCATTCGTCACCACTCGCCCCTTTCTGCAACCTGCAAGGAGACACGTCCCCATATCGATGAATGTTATGTGCGAAAATACGAATGCGCGTATGATTTCAAGTTCTTCGACAAAGAATTCCTCAGAAAAAATGTTTGATTTTACATATGTCTTGCATCTTAAAATATACCCAAGACACAGTTAAATGTGTTCAATCATACTTATAATTCCGCATGTCCAAATGTGCTTTGAATTGCATCTAATTTTTTTATAATATATATAACCATTACGCAGCGAGTTGACAATTGTTTTAGGTATGCCCGTTTGCGCAAAGACGCTAAGAGGGGCACGAGTCGCAATTTGGCTTGTCTCGGAATAACACGATTTGGTCACGAATGCATAGTGACCCTGTACACTACTCATTCATGGATACAAAGACAGATAACTCTGGTACAAAACCACTTGCCGCCGCCCAAACACTGTATAAATCTGAACACAACAGCACATCACTTTTACCAATAAGTCAATCATTTGCAGCTACTGACTGTTATTACAGACTTATTTACAAAATATTTCCACCGCCAATGAAATTACTTACATACACCACCTGTCAACGAATCGAAGTAAATGTTGTGATGATTTGTCAGTTCGGTTCACTTCCAATGTATATGCATGAAAAGTCACTGAGAAATGATGTTTGTAAAACTAATTGCTTGAATAGTTTTATTATTACCAATCTTGAAATCTAGCTTGTTTATGGACTGATTGGAATATTTGCCACAGATAGAAGAGGAAGCCTTTTTGGCATTATTGTAATATTGTTGTTAATATTCTACATTCCAGGAACTCAGTTTGGTAGCATAGCAACGTTCGCTATATCGGGGTTCATGTGCATATATGGCTTTGATAATGGATGGGGATCCATCTTCTATGTTACAGGTAATTCAGATATACATATTCCGAGTCTAAAGTGGAAACATTAATTTCATTCACAATTCAACCGATTATTCCTTATATGTTATTTGTTAGAAACGATTATTCCTTACATACAACTTGTTATAACGGAGTGTTCCTAATATCCGTCCTTGTTATAACCTATAATCAATTTTGTTCGTGAGACATACTTTGTACTGTAGATATGACCACAATAAATATTTAATGACAGTATTAATTAAGGTACCACAGAATAAGCTGATGCGCCGTGATATTACTGGAATATTGTTCAAAGCATGGTTGAACCAAGCTCACTGACTGACTGATTCACCCATTTACACATAAATGATGATGTCTCCGGCATCATAAAGGTTCTCCTAATTATGCCTAGTGATATATTGTTGTTTTGGACATACAATCCGTATGAAGGGCCTTCACATTTGCCAAGAGCAAGCAAGGAAATTGTTCAATCTTTGCAATCAATGAATGTTATCTCCTCAGAACTAGTTGATATCACCCACTTTAGAACAACATTGTTTATCTCCTACTAACAGGTGGTATATCGTTGTTATGGTGCGGGCTGTGGTATTTTACGGTCGTCAGCACACCGGCTCAGCACCCTCGTATCACCAAGAGAGAGAGGAACTATATCATCACCAGTATAGGGGAAAAACAACAGGTATCGTCCTTTTATGTCTACATGATTTAAATGTGTTACACATTCTTATAAAGACACAACTTAAATACTACTAAATGTGATTCATAACCTTATGGTCGAAGCCTTTCCTTATCACACGGAAGAATCGGGTTCATTCTCCAAATGGGTACAAGTTTTCAAGCCCTTTCTGTGTGTACCCAGCTGTGATATAGCAGTTGTATCACTAGAAACGGCGTAAACATAACTCATTACGTTACTACACAAGATATCCATCCATTTAATGTGTTTGTTGTATTATTATACTTGTGGTTTTCTCCCCCCCCCCCCCCCCCCCCCCCCCGAATTAATTAAGGCTAACAATGAGTAATCTCATTATAAAAATAAATATATATGTGACCCACCAGGAGAAAAGGGACATTATGGTGTTAGGATACAATTGTATTGTGACGTCATTGAGAAACACCTCCGTAAATATCGCCATGTACAAAAATATCTTACATTTCTCTCGTTTGTTCGTAATGCAATAAAAACATTATTTCAAAACATTTCAGCATACATGTCAACGTTCAACTAATCTAACATTACTTAAAAAATGCAATTATTACATAAACAGTTATAAGTCTGAATATTTTGCAGTAAAACGAGTCCAAATGTTTGATGCTATGTATCTCTGTAATAAATATAAATGTGAAATGTATTTTTGTGTTCCTAAGATACTGTAGTTTTAAAATATAATGAGAAGTCTAATTGTGATTGATCACCCATAAGATACCTTATCTCATGGTTGGTCACATATGTCAACAAAATAAAAAACAAAATTCAAATGGAGCCAAGGACACTGCCTTGGGGCTGAGGCAAAAAACACCTGCTAAATCATTCCAGATTTTTTAGATTAGATTCCCTTTTTAATGCACGTTCTGATACACGTTTTCACTGTGTCTTCTCTAACTGTATCCTTACTAAACATACTCTTTGGGACTGGTCATTTATTCTACCTCCACGTACGGCTCACATTTATAAGTATTAACTGTGAATTAAACCATTGTGATGACGTCAAGCGATTATTGTTGCAGCTGATTCTGTAATGGAGAAATCATGAGTACATGTTGATTCCGGAAGTAGAATAATTGGACCCCGATGAGGCAAGTTGATTCTACTTTGAAATCAACAGAATCGAGGCCTCTCTAAAACATAAACCATTTTATGGTTGGTGTATAATTTCTCTATAAGTTTGCAGAATACCTTATATTTTCGTCACCTCTACTTGACTTGGAATTAATTGCAACAACAATAGCATGACGGCATCATAATCGTTTAAGAGCCAGGAATTCGCTGGCCATTCTGAAAGTGCATTTCCAAACAAGTACAACTGAAGCAACTATAGGTCATTATGCAAAATTATAGAAAAATCATTATCAACCATAACGATTTAATTCGAAAAAATCACACGGACCCGTTGATTCTGGAAGTAGAATCAACTCAACCATTCGGAGCTCGTTCATTTTCCCCCGGAATCAACAGATTGGAGTGATGTCTTTACTAGTTAACACATGACATATTAACGTTGTTATCCAGACGTTCTCGACCCCATGGGCCGCCCTGCTGAAGTCACCGGCGCTGTGGGCGTGTCTAACTGCACAAGTGTGTTCTAACTGGATAACATACACACTACTGACCAACATACCAACATTCCTTAAAGAAGTGCTGGATTTCGACATAGCAGAGGTGCGTATGTAATCACGTTCGACTAAATGGTATTTCGATACAGGTGGACTAGAAACAAATAATATTTTTAAAATGATTGTTTTGCTATATCAGGTATTGAACATGAGATAAAACTTCAACCTTAAGAAAACCTTATTTGTTGTTCTGAATTCATACCGGCTGAGGGCGCTGGAGAAGCCTCTAGTGGTTAAAGTGTTTGTTTGTTGTTTAACGCCGCACTCAGCAATATTCCAGCTATATGACGGCGGTCTGTACAATAATCGAGTCTGGACCAGACAATCCAGTAATTGACATCATGAGTATCGATCCACGCAATTGGGATCAATCAAGTCAGCGAGCCTGAGCACCCGATCTCGTTATTCGCCTTTTACGACAATCTTAGTCGACTTTTACGGCAAGTATGGGTTGTGCAAGACCTATTCTACCCCGGAATCATCACGGGTCTAAAGTGTTCGCTTGTCACAGGAAGACCCAGGGTCGATTTTCCACTCGTATACAAAGTCGACCCGTCAATGAACGAAAAGGCTTCAACGAGATATAATTGTCATACAGTCACTCACTTTTAATGTTAGTTTTAAAATAATCAGCGTTGCTATATGTGTGCAATGTGTCCATCATGGATATTTTTGTAAATGTATTTAAATCGATTGATTTTCTTCAAAAGAACGGCTTGCTGTCGTCCATTCCCTACGTGAGCCAGGCCGTGTCCGGAATGTTGTCTGGTCAAGTGGCCGACTACATCCGGTCAAGGAAATACCTCAGCACAACGGCCACACGGAGGATCTTCCAGATCATCGGTCTGTAGATAACTTTACATCCTTGCAAGGTTAAACCAGATATACGGATCGACGCAAAATTTCAGTCATTCGCTGGACGTAATTCTTTAATAGTGCAGGTGGTTGAGGACACTATTAGCATGGAGAAAACCGACAAAGTTTTACACATATTTTAACACTTACATTGAGTACTGCAAATTTTATTTTGTGATTTATTTTATCATAATCGGGTCATGTGTACTGTTCTCCCCCATTGCATTTATTTTGATCAATGACTTAATACAATATTTATTCACATTAGACTACTACTTAGAATAGGTCCCCAGCAACCTATGCTAGTGGCAGGAGACGATAGATCGCGTTGTGAGGCTCGGTCGCTTTGTAGATTGCGTGTCATCGTGCTGGACGGCGTGGGTTTTATTCTGAATATGAGTAAAGTGAAGCTCCAAATTATTCTCGCCGTGATTACTCTAAAATGTTGTTACAAATGACCTGTGTCTCACAGAGCTTGTGATTAGTTCACTATTCTCTGGTCAAGCACACTTAAGGTAGTGTAAGCGGGTGGGAAGCGAATTGTAGTCCAAATGAGATGTTGGCAAGATGATATGTATACAATATGAAATGAAGGCAAAATAAGGTGTGAGCAAACGAGATGAAGGCCAAGTGAAATGTTATCAAAATGAGCGGAAGGCGAAATGTAATCTAGTCTTAATGAGATGTGGGCAAAATGAGAGAAAACAGAGTGACATGTCGGCAATATGAGTGGACGGCAAAGTGAAATGTAGGCCAAATGAGTGGACGGCTAAGTGAAATGTAGGCCAAATGAGTGGACGGCAAAGTGAAATGTTGGCAAAATGATTGGACGGCAAAGTGAAATGTAGGCAAAATGAGTGGACGGCAAAGTGCAATGTAGGCAAAATGATTGGACGGCAAAGTGCAATGTAGGCATAATGAGTGGACGGCTAAGTTAAATGTTGGCAAAATGATTGGACGGCAAAGTGAAATGTAGGCAAAATGAGTGGACGGCAAAGTGAAATGTAGGCAAAATGATTGGACGGCAAAGTGCAATGTAGGCATAATGAGTGGACGGCTAAGTTAAATGTTGGCAAAATGATTGGACGGCAAAGTGAAATGTAGGCAAAATGAGTGGACGGCAAAGTGAAATGTAGGCAAAATGATTGGACGGCAAAGTGCAATGTAGGCATAATGAGTGGACGGCTAAGTGAAATGTTGGCAAAATGATTGGACGGCAAAGTGAAATGTAGGCAAAATGAGTGGACGGCAAAGTGAAATGTAGCGAAAATGAGTGGACGGCTAAGTGAAATGTAGGCAAAATGAGTGGACGGCAAAGTGAAATGTAGGCAAAATGAGTGGACGGCAAAGTGAAATGTTGGCAAAATGATTGGACGGAAAAGTGAAATGTAGGCAAAATGAGTGGACGGAAAAGTGAAATGTAGGCAAAATGAGTGGACGGCAAAGTGAAATGTAGGCACAATGAGTGGACGGCAAAGTGAAATGTAGGCAAAATGAGGGAAAGACAAAGAAACATGTATTACAAAATTAGGTTTTATTTCAGCCTTCGTGGGGGCAGGTGCGTGTCTGATCGGGACAGGGTTTGTGAGCGTGGAGAACCGCTATGTCGCTGTAGTTTTGTTAACGATAGCTATGTGGTTTGTTGGGATGGGATCTGCTGGCTACACTGTCAACACTGTCGACTTCGCTCCAAGGTAGGGTTACTTCATCTTTTTAATTCAAGATGGGAAATTCAGTTTTTAATGTGTTGTTCCATCTTGTTTTTAAAAATGTGTCGGATGCTTATACAAAAGATATTATCATCGTTAAGACTATAGATCATGAGATGTCAATTTTTCAACTCTTTGGTTGGCCTTGTTTATCTGCGTTGGTGTCACTGAATACTGATGTAGATATGTCACTGATATGAGATCATACAGTGTACCGATATACAGTGTGCGGATAAAGGTATATTGATATACAGTTTGCGGTTATACAGTGTGCGGATATAAGTATATTGATATACAGTTTGCGGTTGTACAGTGTACTGATATACAGTGTGCGGATATTCAGAATAATGATATTACGTGTACGGATATGCAGTAGTTAAATTATCAACATAGACATAGTGTGTCAACCAAATTGTTGGTGTACCCTGTAACGGAATATGGCTCAAATAGGCGTAACCATGGTTACTCATTCCGCCATGGACAGCTGTGAAATTCCGTGATATATTCAAAAATATATCCTCTTAACTGAATGAAATGATGTCGTTTTATCACTTTCTGGGAATGTTTGTTATCTAACACCTCTCTGAGCAATATACACGTATATCAGAGCGTCATTTCCTCACATAGTTCATGTTCGTTTATATGGGTATCTGTGTCTCAATGTCGACATTCATGTTGCAGATACGCTGGTATACTGTTCGGTATTTGTAACGCTGCTGCGACGGTCCCGGGGATGGTGTCACCACTCCTAGCCGGTGCCCTCACCCCAAACGTAAGTAGAAGAGTCGTTATGGGTTAAGTTCTTTGTTCGTTTTGTTCAACGTTGCTCTCTGGTTTCACAGCCATACGACAGCGGTCTGTAACCAAGGCAACAAACATAACCACCCGATCCATTAAGTCGCCTCCTACGACACAGGACAAATTCTAACGCGGAATTCCAACAGTGACGTCATCATTTCATATACGGGATTGTTTCATATGATGTAATGTCACTTGTAACGATTGGTGGCGACTCAATGAATCTGCTTGTAGTCGGTTCCCGCATTCATACTTATTTGGATTTTCTTCAGCTGTTTAACCCCACACTCAAGCTACTTATGATCACATTCAAATGATCTACCCACGTCTACTGTTTGAAGCTTACCTTTTACATTAAGATGACATTTCTCAATATGACTGAATACTGTTATACGGCGTTAACCCAACTCTTTCACGTGGACGCATGAATCGGTGCTCACACTATCGATCACAGTTTTGTCAGTTCCTGCCTAAATGTTGCCAACCTTTAATAATGATAATAGTGGCCATTTGATATTCTGGGAGGGGTGTGTATCTGGGATTTTCTTTCAGCTACAGCCCACCACCACCATAATATGAAATGGTCGGCCCCCTACTATTCACTCCGTTAGCTATCTGACTGGTGTAGCCTAGTTGGTAAAACGTTCACCCGAAGACCCGAGTTCGATTCCCCATACGATGTCAAAAGCCCCTTTTCTTGTTCCGTACACTGTTGAAATATTGCTTACCGCGGCGTTACACTATTTTCACTCACACACACTCTGCCTCTCCCCACAGAAAACCCAGGAAGAATGGCGGAACGTGTTCTACGTGTGTGCGGGATTCTGTGTCCTGGGAAGTTTGGTGTTCGGCACCCAGGCCCGGGGGGAGCTGCAGCCCTGGGCCATGGACAAGGTGGAGGTAGACGTGGGGGAGGGGCAGGAGATCCCCGACGTGTCAGACAGGGCTCTGGATACCAAGGAAACTTTTGACAAGAAGGCAATTACAGATACGTCAAATCAACTGTAACAGTTTTCAGCCTAACAGAATACCACATACATCGGATACAGTGAACCTCCTTTAGCCGTATCATTGATACAGATCATATGTTAACCAGACAATTTTACAGGGAATGAATTCCGAAAGACGTTCTGTGCAAGTGGAACCTGGAATGGAAACCACCACATAAAACACCATGACATTCATTGATAGGTGTTATATTGTTAAGCAGAAAAGTATCTCTAATGAACATGTAAAGTTAACATGTTGAAAATATTGGGCCCAAATAGGAAGAACGTTAATCCAAATGAAAGTAATATCTTTCAATGTACCAAATCACGACTTGGACATTAATAAACACGAAGTATTATCTTCACCAAAACAATTTTTTTCCACATTTCTTACACAATTCTTTTCTTATGCATACACATACGCCCCCACATCGACGTCCAAACGTAGATAACTTTACGGCAGCTAAAGAAAACAAATTATGAACAGCCATATGTTGATGTATTAGTACATGGATGAACAGAGTGATTAGACACATAATACGATATTAGTACATGGATGGACAGAGTGATTGGACATATAATATTATAATAGTACATGTGCATTCGGTTTGATTAGACATATATTTATGTATTTTAGATGTAGGTACAGAGTGATCAGACATATATTTGGCTTTGCTGGGATGTTAGCGAAAAACATAAATTGCTCAGATAATTCTTGACAAAAGCAATTATGCAGATTGTTGAAAAAACATTTGTCTGCGACAAACATTACATTGTTGCAATGTATTTTTCTTGAAAACATATTCAGGCTGGAGGTAGTCAGTCATAATACGTGCTTGACGTTCATTAGTACACCACCAAACACGTCCACGCTTATACAGAGAGTCCAGAAGTATTTTTGAACTTCTCCGAAAACATTAAACGAGACCTTCGGCATTGTCTTACGTTCTAAACACTATTGGCGTATGGCTAGAATGTGTTCACTTGTTAACGGTGGAACAACACATGGTAGCCGAGCATGAAGATTAACTACATGCAGACGAGTAAACACAGATTTGATGGGCTGATTTCTTGAAGCCTGGATTCTGGTTAATCGATCCTGAAAGTTTGCTGTCTGACCTTGGGCAACGTGTGCGGGGCCAATCATTAACATTTTGTGTCTGCAGAAATCTGCAAGTTGCAGACTGAGACACATTGAACATATTGGCTACCTCTTTCAATAGCCTCTGCCAACAGCCCTTAGACTTTCATCACATTGTTGACGACACATTCCCAATCTTATCACAAATACTGCATTACAGCAAGATTCGAGAGTTCACATGTTACTGTGGATAAAACATGACGCCCAAACCCACATGGAATTTCATGTTCCATGTGCAATGTTTCGGGGGTGTTGGAGCGTTAGGTTTTGGTTCTGAAACCCTTCTACTCTGGCAGTCATTTTTCAAAGCTGAACTCTGTTCTGGCGACTGATCATTATCATATATATTTTAATGACCCTCAACTTGTTTTGGTGAGTATATGTTGCCAACATTATTTATCCGGGAAGGGGCATTTCTGGATTAGTGGGGTCCGGATTAACAAGTTTCACTTAATGCAGGAAGTGTTAAGCTCTGTTGACAAGACAAACGCAATGGTATGAAATGTTTAATAATGTATATTGAAAGTATGGTGTTCAAGATTATTGCACTTATAGAGTCTATGTATGTATGTATGTATGTATGTATGTGTATTGGCTAAAAAACTCAAATTGTTTCCCGAATTTAGTGCAAGAATGTTTATATTAAAAGTGCACGCCACACCCCATTTAAAGAGTTCACCCTCTTTTCCTCCAAAAATTGAATACGCGTTTGTATTCCTTTGTAGTATCTTGCTTGTGTTCACAACGATGGCTGCTGGCCTACGTTGGCTGGCTCGGGTGTATCATGCTATACGCCGCCCGTGCCAACCTCAGCGTCGGCATCGTGTGCATGGTCAACGACACCGACACCAATTCCACGTCGTCGACAGCGGAGGTACAGTTTCCAACCACCTCATTACCATCGCAATGTTACGTATCTTCAAATGTCAAAAGTGGCTGATCATGTATCTCTTCGTATCCTGCTAAGACGTGGCTCGATCTTCACACTATCAACCTCCGGTTTCATTATCCAGGATCAGCAGGCTTTGAGAAACCTTGAAATCGCTTGGTCGTGATATATTTCAGACCTTTTCAGACTGGGCCATCCGTGTGCCCGCTTCCTTACTGACTAGCTCTCATTGAGTAAAAAACAGAAGTTATCGTTCTTGAAGTGTACCAATCCTTCAAACAATCTACTTACGCTCTTAAATTAAGTCTATCTTAAAAAGTTATCCGAAAAGGTACATATTTAGCACCATTCCAAGTGCTGCTTAATCCCCCAAACGAGACTGACATCATCTTGCTATTTGTTTTAGCATGAATGGGCTTTTCTACACATAAGTCATATGCCGATAGTTGTAAATGGTGTCGTGTGTAGAATGCGAGTTCCACTGTGACGTAATTAAATCACGTGTTACTTTATGTCTTCCAGCCTTGCTTATCGCTCGATGGCTTCCTCTAAGTGTCCTAACTCGTCTAAGTATTGCATCAATCTTATATATGTGAATCATACATGTTAACATTCCACTATCTATTCAAATACTTGCGTTATATTTCCAGCATGCCGAGTTTAACTGGTCCAAGGGAGAGCAGTCTGGAATCCTCAGCTCGTTTTTCTACGGCTACATATTGACACAGATTCCCGCGGGAATACTGGCGACTAGATATGGCGGGAAGTACGTAATGTTTATCGGGATGCTGATTGGCTCGATCGTTACACTGCTTCTACCAATCGGCGCCCGGACTTCCATCTACCTGGTGTATGTGCTGCGCGTGATTCTTGGAGTGTGCCAGGTAGAGATGACTACCAAGCTGAAAATTTACATGCCATATACTTTGTAATTTGCATGTTAGTTTTCCATTATCGCAATTATTGCCGAGAATGACAAATTCACTGATGGAATGGTGCAAAGCGATATCCAAAACAATTATTTCAGTTATAATGAGGCTTGAACAACAAACCAGTCGAACAATTCAATCAGTGTTACTCTTAACCAGCGCTGAAGCACATGACAAGATGCTTGTCCAATGAAAGATGTTTGTTTGATGACCTTCGGTATATTTCTCTTCAGAACGTGATACCGCATGTGGTGTCATCCAAAAGACAATATATCACTTTTGTTGACATTACGTTTACTGCACTCTCCCCAGGGAGTCTTGTTTCCATCTCTACAATACCTTTGGGGCCGATGGGCGCCGCCATTAGAGAGGACAAAACTCACTGCTGTCTGTTATTCAGGTAAATCGGATTTGAAGGTTTATATTTCTGATGAAATCTTTTTCACAGATTTTATGCGCATCTCTATAGAACCATTATAGAAAGGACATTGTCGTGTTGTCGCCTGTGCAAACCCAAGCCCAAACCAAAGCGCAACATCGTTCATCTGACCCGTCTTGCGAGGTTTACAAATAAAAACTTCAATAATGGGTCAAATCAGTGGCAGCAGCAACGAGTAACAGGTGCACGGCGTACAACTGCCGCTTGGTATCTCAGTGGGTGAGATCTCGTCACTTCCCGTGAGATTCCGTCAAGATGACGGCTCATCCGGACACGTGACCGGACGTGCCGCCATCTTGTCGTGGGGGCACTTCTGGTTCCGGTTCATGAACCAAGACCGGAAGGCCCGCCATCTTGGAAACAGACCCCAAAGTGACCCTGTCCACAACTAATTCATGGATACAAGGACAGATAACTCTGGTACAAAACCAATTGCCGCCGCCCAAAGGCTGTATAAATCTGAACACAAAAGCACATCACTTTTACCAAAAAGTTAATCATTTGCAGCAACTGACTGTTATTACAGACTTATTTACAAAATATTTCCACCGCCAATGAAATTACTTACGTACAACATCTATCAGCGAATCGAAGTAAATGTTGTGATGATTTGTCAGTTCGGTTCACTTCCAATGTATATGCATGAAAAGTCACTGAGAAATGATGTTTGTAAAAAGAATTGCTTGAATAGTTTTATAATTGCCAATCTTGAAATCAAGTTTGTTTATGGACTGACTGAAATTTTTGCCACAGATAGAAGAGGAAGCCTTTTGGTCATTATTGTAATATTGTTATTAATTTCCTACATTCCAGGAACTCAGTTTGGTAGCATAGCAACGTTCGCTATATCGGGGTTCATGTGCATATATGGCTTCGATAATGGATGGGGATCCATCTTCTATGTTACAGGTAATTAAGATATACACAATCCGATTCTTAAGTGGAAATATTCATTCACAATTCAACCGATTATTCTTCACATACAACTTGTTTTAAGTGTGTTCCTCATATCCGTCCTTGTTATAACGGATAATCAATTTTGTTCGTGAAACATACTTTGTACTGTAGATATGACCACAATAACTATTTAATGACAGTATTAACTTAGGTACCTACCAAAGAATAAGCTGATGCCCTGTGATATTACTGGAATATTGTTCAAAGCATGGTAAAACCAAGCTCACTGGCTGACTGACTCACTTATTTACACAAAAAAGTGTCAGGCATCATAAATGTACTCCTAATTATGCCTACTAATATATTTTTGTTTTGGGCATACAATCCGTATGTAGGGCCTTCACATTTGCCAAGAGGAAGCAAGGAAATTGTTCAATCTTTGCAATCAATAAATTTTATCTCCTCAGAACTAGTTTGATATCACCCAACAACATTGTTTATTTCCCGTCAACAGGTGGAATATCGTTGTTATGGTGCGGGCTGTGGTATATAACGGTCGCCAGCACACCGGCTCAACACCCTCGTATCACCAAGAGAGAGAGGAACTATATCATCACAAGTATAGGGGAAAAACAACAGGTATCGTCCTTTTATATCTACATGATTTAAATGTGTAATATATTTTTTTAAAGACACAAATTCAATACTACTAAATGTGATTCATAACCTAATGGTCGAAGCCTTTCCTTGTCACACGGAAGAATCGGGTTCATTCTCCAAATGGGTACAAGTTTTCAAGCCCTTTCTGTGTGTCCCCAGCTGTGATATAGCAGTGGTATCACTAGAAACGGCGTAAACATAACTCATTACGTTACTACACAAGATATCCATCCATTTAATGTGTTTGTTTTATTATTATACTTGTGTTTTTCATTTCCCCCATAAGTTAGACTCACATTGAGTCACAGAAATAAGGTAATCGCATCATAAAAATATATATGTGACCTACCAGCAGAAAAAAGACATAATGGGTGCTAGGATACAATTGTGTTGTGACGTCATTAAGAAACACCTCCGTAAGTATAGCCATGTGTGCAGAATGTACAAACATATCTTATTTCTCTCTCGTTTCTTCGTAATGTAATATAAACATTATTTCAAAACATTTCAGCATACATGTCTTCGTTCAATAAATCTAACATTACATCTGAAAAAAAACATATATTACATAAACAGTCTTGAAGATTTTGCAGTAAATCGAGTCCAAATGTTTGATGCTATGTATCTCTGTAATAAAAATAAATGTGAAATGTATTTTTGTGTTCCTAAGATACTGTAGTTTTAAAATATAATGAGAAGTCTAATTGTGACTGTTCACCCATAGGTCCCTTATCTCAAGGTTTACATATGTCAACAAAATTCAAATGGAGCCAAGCACACTGCCTTGGTGCTGAGGCAAAAAGGACCTGCTAAATCATTCCAGACTTTTTAGATTATATTCCCTTGTTAATGCACGTTCTGATACACGTTTAACTGTGTCTTCTCTAACTGTGTCCTTACTAAACATTCTCTTTGGGACTGGTCATTTATTCTACCTCCACGTACGGTTTACATTTATAAGTATTAACTGTGAATTGAACCATTGTGATGACGTCAAGCGATTATTGTTGCAGCTGATTCTGTAATGGAGAAATCACGAGTATATGTTGATTCCGGGAGTAGAATAATTGGTCCCCGATGAGGCAAGTTGATTCTACTTTCGAAATCAACAGAATCGAGGCCTCTCTAAAACATAAACCATTTTATGGCTGATTCTGTAATGGAGAAATCATGAGTATATGTTGATTCCGG